TATATATATACATATATATATAAGCTTTACTGGTTTTTGTTTCTCTAGAGAACTCAGAGTAACACATATGGAATTAGTCCCTGGATTGTTGTGTGAAACTATTACTTAAGCCACATGAGTCTGTCAAAGCAAAAACATGAGTTTATTTAAATAGATGCTTGTTGCCATAACTGATAAATGACAATGTGATGAATTGGCATGTGCTGTTCTAAAGAAACACGGAACCAATGAGGGGGAGAATACCATAGAGAGTATAGAATGTAATTGTGTTTTATGTAAATGAAGCCATGACACAATTTAATGTTTCTTAATTAATTCTGAATCAACTGAAACAAGATATAATCTAGGCCAATGTGGAAAAAAAAAAAAGAAAAAGCAGGGCCTTCTTTTTCTAGCATTAAGAAAGAGAGCTCAGGCAAAATGCCACTTAGAACTGGGTCAGGGGTTAAAAAAAAAAAAAAAAAAACACGATGATGGTAGAAATATCATATGCAGTTTATTTATGTAACTTAGTATCTCATTGCCTGCAAAGTAATAGTTTCCTATCATTGCTTAAAAAAAAAAAAAAAAAGAAAGAAAGAAAGAAAGAATGTTTTTGCCAAGCAAGAAAACAGAAATTTTAATCAGGCTGTAATTCCAGTGTCAATCACTAGGGGGCATTTAAACGTTAATTCATTGACGAGCCTTGCTTTTTATGAAGCCTTTTCTTCATAATCTTCTGTCACAATTAGTTATATTTTTAGGGCTTCATGATTTTGAAATGTTTAGTTTTTGGGTTTGTTTTTCTCAGAAAGATGTTACTACATCAAGTTTTAAGTTACAATAACTGAACTGAAAAGTGTGACATATATAAAATAGGGTAAGGTGTCTTGTATTTTTCATTTTTATTCATTTTTTTTAAGAAAAGAGAAAAATGCATTAGAAAGAATTTGTTTTGCATGGGTTTTGATAGCCTCTAAGCTGTAATGATCTTCACATAGTCAGCAACAACACAAAGCACATTGCTAAAATCAATCTTTTCTTCCATTAAATGAATGAACATTTCTCCTTCTCACATTATTCAATAAGAAAGAAAATTTTGCAAAGAAAGATTTTTCTTTCTGAAATACCTGAATACATTGTCAGATATACAGTAGATGCTCAATGTCATCTGAAACCATATCTGAATCTGAAATTCACATCATCTGAGTTGGAATGAATTTTTCCTAATTGAAGGAAAAGTGCAATTTTCCTCCTTAAAGAGAAACATAAAACAAAATCAAAAACTTTTTAAAAATATTCAAGTGTTTATTTTTCATAAAGGGTGAATAAAGAATTTCAGCATTAGTGTAAAATTTAAATTTAACATATAATTTTTATGTATACATTACTTCAGTTTTAAATATGAGTGTTAGGTTTATGAAATAAATTTCTTTTTGTTTGGAAAACAAAGGATAAATTTAACTGAGGTATCTCAATTTAATTCTGTTAATTATTGTTTAAGTTTATACCATAGTAGCATGAGTGGTATTTTGTCTCAAGAAATCTAATAAAATCAGACATTATTACTAACATACTGGTTTAAAAAGTATAAATCATCTCTATTATGTAGTGATAAATAATGACAGTGGCTTATTTTCTGTTACATTTGAAGATGAGTGAGACCATCTTGAGCCCATGATTTATCTCTATCTGGAGTTCAGTGTCTAGCTGCTGGGTATATAGAGTGACACTAAAACTCTTGAACAAAGTATTAATGTTTCTCTATTAGGCAATAATTCATTCAGTCATCTCCCATCTTTTGAAAGCACTCTGTTTAATCAGTTGTGGTTGATAGAGACAAATTATGCTATAAGATTTTAAGGCTATGTCTTGACTGTGTAGATGAGGTCTTAATTTTAAGGAGATA